TATAACTCATCCCTTTTACTTTTATATTTCTTAGGTACCAAATGTTTCTTTTAACATATAGGGCCTTTTGTTTTCTTGAGTTATAACTCGAGCAATGTAGGAACAATATCACACCTAACCATCTTTCAGCCATCAAATTTCTTTCAGTCTGGCATACTTGCCCACACACATAAACAACCTACCATCTTTACTTTACACACATAACCAGTAATTCATGTTTACTTACTTATAACTTAAAAATCTATTTTATTTATCTTTACTAGGTACCAAATGTAGTTTTTGACATAAAGGGCCTTCCATACTTAAGTTTTAAGTTAAGTACTACATGAACACCATAATATGATCACATTCTTGTCATATTTACATTTCAGCTCAATAACAGATCTAAACACACCCCCACCTATTACATCAATACTCAATAATATATCTTTTAGGACCCATCTTCCCACATGTGTCTTTTTACCATTTTCTAGGTACCAAATGTCTCACAACATATAGGGCCTTTGACAAAATCTCTAGCTTAAAATAAATATATCCTTACACATGTATAGTTGGTTGCCTATCAATCCCACAAAATTTCATAAATTCTAGTTGACCTACATTAATTTTTAAAAAACCAATTTTCAATGTTACAAATATACCTATCTGATTAATTTACAATACAGATTACAATATTGATGGTTGATACTGTTACATTATTATAATTTTAACTTTTTTAATTTTAAATAAGGCTGACATCTGTCAATTTTAGACAACTACCGTAAGTTACATTGACTGCTCTGACACAACATCCGTCCTAACTTGTCAACAATGTCATTATGATCAGTTGTTATCAACAGGTCCTCGTAGGCACTTCGTCTCAGGACCATTTTACTCATGTAGAGTCATACGTCGCCATGTTACCTATCCAACGGTAACTTAACCATCACAAATTAGAAACACTAATAATGTAAAACAATTTCAAATTTATAACATTTAAAGGGTTTTTACCCATATATTTTGGTGGCTACTAGCATGTACAACCGTAAGTATTAACACATTTTGCTCTAACCTTTGTCAACATTTTCATTTAACGTTCTTTTTAATTAAAGTGGTTATATACTTTCAGGTTTGCACTGATGATGGATTGTTTATTCCGAAAACGTTTTGCAATGTGTTTGTGATAGCCCGTTTGAGGCAATTTTATATACCTTTTATAAAGGATTTTAACAAATTTTTTTATTGTGTAAGTAGTTTTCGATATAAAGTTATTGTAAACTTGTCGTAAAACACCCTGAATTTAAATCCTCTTTCTGTATTCTTGATTGAGTTAATCATCGTAGTTTATTTATCCTTTTGGCTTAATATATTTACCTTATCTATTTTTTCTAGTAGTCCACGCAAATTTTTAATATTTTTGTATAAATACATATTTCTAAAACTTTCATTCTCTAGTATACGAAATTACTAATGACAGTAGTAAGCACAAACTGGTAGGTATTAGATATAATATCATATATTATAGACTACAAGCCCATGGGAGATTTTTAATAGGTCATTATTTGATCCAGCATGAATCACATATAAAACGATACTAACTGTATGTAAACGATATTTCTTCTTCTTAACGTGCCCTATCAAGTCCCCTTGACGTTGGCGATTAACATGGCGAAACTGTCTCTGTCTCGAGCTATTCTAAAGAGTTGCTCAGCTTTCTTTATTCCTGTCCACTCTCTGATATTCTTCAACCAAGAGGCCTGCTTTCTACCAATTCCTCTGCGTCCTTCGATTTTACCCATCATAATAAGTTAAAGAATATTATATCGGTCTCCCCTTACTACGTGTCCAAAATAGGCCATCTGTCTACATTTGATGTTATCAAGCAGCTCGCGAGCAGCATTTGCTCTCTCAAGGACTGCCACATTTGTCAGCATAGCCGTCCATGGAATTTTTAGTATACGTCTGTGCAGCCACATTTCAAAGGCCTCCAGACGATTAATGGTGGATATTTTTAATGTCCATGCTTCGACACCATATAAGAGGACTGACCAAATGTAGCATTTAACCATATGCTTTCGAAGTTGAAGTTTCAATTTATCATTACAGAAGAATTACCTCATTTTTAAAAATGTCGTGCGGGCTATCTCGATTCTATATTTTATCTCTTGATCTGGATCTAGTTGTTCAGTAATATGACAAACAAGATATTTAAAACTGGACACTCTTTGAATTATATGACCATCAACATATAATCGTGCATCTTGATGTGCTAAACGGCTAAACACCATGTGTTTTGTTTTTGAACAGTTTATGTTTAGGCCAAACTCTCTTCCCACTGTATCAATGGCATTTAAAAGGCATTGTAATCCATTCATGTCATCACTTAAAATAACTGTATCGTCTGCATATCTGATTGTATTTATCAGAATTCCATTAACTTTCACACCCCATTCCAAATTATGCAGCGCTTCTTTAAATATTCTATCTGAATATAAATTAAATAACAGTGGGGATAGTATACAACCCTGTCTGACACCTCTTTGTATTTTACATATTTCTGTTGATTTTCCATTTATGCAAGCTGTCGCTGTTTGACGCCAGTATAACTTTTCTATGAATCGTATGTCTTCACTATCAACTCCTTTATCTTTTAATATTGTAATTAATTTGTATGCTGTACTCGATCAAAGGCCTTTTCATAGTCAATAAATACAGCAAAGACGTCTTTCCTTTGATCTCGACATTTCTGCAGTAATACATTTAGTGCAAAGAGGGCGTCCCGAATTTTCAGTCCATTTCTGAAGCCAAATTGTGTTTCATACTGATCTTCTTCACATTTATCTCTGATTTTACTGTGGATGATGCGTAGAAATATTTTCGAAGTGTGGCTCATAAGGCTTATCATTCTATAATCGCTACAGTTTTTCGGACGTTGTTTTTTTGGTAGTGTTATGAATTCGGACTTTAACCAATCTTCAGGGATATCACCAGTCGAATAAACATCATTGAAAAGTTTGACCAGTATTCCAATGTTCTCCTCATTTATAAGCTTTAACATCTCTGTCGATATGTTATCAGGGCCAACGGCTTTCTTGTTCTTTGCTAACTTTATAGTATGCAGTATTTCTGATTTTAGTATTTCTTGTCCTTCACCTTCAACTAAAGTCTCCGGTTCTTCGGGTCTATCATCAATATACAGTTCACTTATATAATTACACCAGGTTGTTCGAATTTCATGTTCGTCTATTATCATTTTTCCCGACGAATCGGTTATAGTATGTGGAGTTTTATTATGATAAAGATCAGCTACTTCTCTAACTTTTTTAAACATATTAAAGGTATTATGTTTTTCATTTAACTTTTCTAATTCCTTGCATTTATCCTCCATCCATTTTTCTTTAGCCACCTTTATTTTTTTGTTTAATTAGTTTCTGTTTTTCCTTATATTCTGTCTTGTTACCTTTCAGTTTCCTTCTCTGCTCCATTAGTTCCAGGATTTCATCAGTCATCCATTGTTGTTTTTTGTGAATGTGTAAAGTTGTTGAATATTTTTCTATTACTTTCAAGGTAAGATCTTTAAATATGTTCCATATTTCTGTGTTGTTTTCGTTTATTGATTTCTTTAGCTCATTGTTTAAGTCATTTTCTATTATAAAAATTGTTTAAAATCCTTTATAAAAGGTATATAAAAAATGCCCCAAAAGGGCTATCACAAACACATTGCAAAACGTTTTCGGATTGATAAATCCATCATCAGTGCAAACGGTTGTACATGCTAGTAGCCACCAAAATATATGGGTCAAAACCCTTTAAATGTTTTAAATTTGTAGTTGTTTTACATTATTAATAGTTATAATTTGTGATGTTTAAGTTACCGTTGGATAGGTAACATGGCGAACGCCATGTTACCTATCCAATATAACCAAACATATACGATCTGTCAAAAGTTTCAAAACAATAATACCAATATGGCCGAAGTGGGGTCGTTTTTAGTCACGTGATGCCCTCTCCATAGATTCTAACTCGATGGTTATTACTTTCCAAACAAAAGTTGAAATGCCAAATCTCAAGACTTTTTAATTTTTATAAAGTTAACATTTTGCTTCCTCTGCTACTTTTTCTTTTAAGTAGTGTTTTTACGATAATACCATCACAACTCAGTGTTCTATTTCTATGAAATATAGTTTAAAAGTATACATTAACGAAATTCTAACCTTATACTTTATTGATGAATGCATTTTATTGCTATTTTCATAAAACAACATCCTTTATTAATTACACAACCTTGTAAAATTGTTGTAGTAACTATTAGAATACTTAGATATTGCAAAAAGCGGAAAGATTATGTAAAAAAAAATTAAAAAATAACGAAAAATACAAATTATCCACACTAAACAACGTTTGTTTGGAAAGTGAAACTGACAGATGTCAATCAATCTACGTCATCACTCCGACGGTCCATTGATGATATTTTGAATCTTTTATATCCAAATTTTTAATTTTAAAATTTTTTTAAATATATAAAATTCAACGACATTTCTTCTCGACTATTTTTATTAATATCGCCAAAAACGCTATAGTAAGAAAGAACATTTTTAAATTTAGAATGAGTAACTTGCTGCGCACGCCCGGCTCAAAAGTTTATTCCGTTAGTAAAATTCTAAACGCCATACTGTTATTAAATAAAAGATTTCTTATTCCTTACTTCAACAAATAATTTAAATATTATTGTTCTGAAGATTTTCTTGTAGCATCTTACTACAATTTACTATTTTTACTGGGGTAAGCTACAGTTTAATTTTAAAATAAAATCATTTGACTTTACCAAATTAAACAATTTTTTAACAAATTAAACAAATTGATTTATTTGTTTTGTATTTTGGGAACGATAGAGAAATATAAATGTCAAATAAATTTATTTGAAAGTAAAATTGGGGTTTATTTTTTGTAAAAATAGTAAATTGAATATATAGTAAATTAAAAATACTATTTAATATAATTTATATTAGTTTTTATTAAAGGATTGCAACTGAAGAAAAGGGATATCTTACTTTCAACACTACACTGGATTCTAATGCAACTGCATCGTATCCTGCAGAAGCGTCGAATAAAACGAAATATAGACTATTTTTCATTTTTATATATTCCGGCTTACTGGCCCTTACTGTCATATTGGTTACATGGAGAAATATTATATTCGTTCAGGTTTATATGAAATCTGCCAAAGCTCTACACAATAATATGTTTAAGCATATTCTTCGAGCTCCAATGAGATTTTTCGATACTAATCCTTCAGGTAAGCATATATTAACTGTTTATGGATATTTTTTGCCCATCAACTTTTTAATTTAAATGTCCGTTTTTTAAAAATAAATTTAAATGCTCAGCGTAATTCACGAAAGTCCAGCATAGTCCATAATTTTTATTTTTAATGAATAATACGGAGTAAAATTTTGAAATTATACATATTTGTCGTCAAAAATTTAAATAGAAAACTCTATATATTGAGACTATTTAAAAATTGATATTTGTATTTAACTAATTTAAAAAGAATACCATAATTTAAACAGTAATAAATGATTAATTTCAAATTTTTTCAGCAACGAGCCTTTTTTTGTAGAAAAATATACCACAATTGCTAGGCATGATCGTCCAAGTTCAGCTCATGGTGGCACCCCAATTTTTTCTACAAATAGTGATTTCTCTCCCATAACAAAATATGACTTTCTTTTGAATGAATCCTTTTGTTTTGAGTTTTCATTGGTTTATAACAAGAATCTTAATCTATACATTCTTTGCATTTATAGATCACCTGATTCTTCCACGGAACTATTGTTTGCCTTTATTATTTGGACTTCTGCAATAAAAGCAGAAATATTGTATGCGGTGACTTGAATATTAATTACGCTGTTGCTTGTGCTACCCAATTATTCTTGATCAGTATATTCGAATCGTATGATTTTACAATGCACGTTTATTCTGCTACAAGAATTACTAAAACAACATCTACCATAATTGATTATATTGTCTCAGATTTTTCTCCCCTTAATGTACGCTCTACAATTATTAATGCAGGACTATCTGATCGTGAAGCAGTATATACCAAGTTTAAAACGCTTAACAAACAATCCTCGAAAACCCAACGTTTAGGTAGGAGTTTTTCCGCGCAGAAATTTCGTAAATTCCAAAATTTGTGCTTGACTTCTGGGTGGCACATATCCTCTGTGGACTTGGACTATAATTTCAGTGATTTTTTAGATAGGCTTGTCTGTATTGTCAATAGGACATTTTCTTTAACTAGAATTAAGTCAAAACATCACAAAGACTGGACTACCAAAGGCAACCGCATATCAGCCAAGAATATGCGTTCACTACTATACATGAAGAAATTAACTACGAACGTCTATATCACTGAAAATATTTTTATGTACAGAGGAACCTATCTAAAACTTATCAAAACAACTAAAAAAATGTACTATGAGAATCGTCTGGGAAGCCCTAAAAATGTTGCAAGAGAAACGTGGTCCATAATAAACGATCTTCGAAATATAACTAACACAGCTCAAATATTTTCTCTTCTAAACCATGAAAATCTTCATGAATACTTCGTTAATGTGAGTAAAAATATAACATCTACTATTTCGCCACAACAAGATCCTATTTCCTATCTCCACAATTCAAAAAAGGTCTCGAATTCATTCTTTATAAGACCAGTGGATCAGTCTGAACTAATCCAAACAATCAGTAGTATCAACAGCAAATCTTCTTGTAGTACTGATGGACTATCCATAAAAATATTCTTAAATCTCCAAAAAAATGTGTTGAAAGTCCTGGTCTCACTAATTAACGCTTCCTCTGAAAAATGTATATTTTCAGAGTGCCTAAAGACAGTCATTATTATTCCTTTTCACAAGGGTGGTGAAAATTCTAATGTCTGCAACTATAGACCTATTGCCTTACTACCGGTCCTATCCAAAATTATTGAGAGACTTATAAAAGCCCGACTTATGTTCTTACTCGTTAAATTTTATCACTTCGCTGAAGTCATTTCGGCTTTTTATCTAATTAATGTACCAGCGATGTTTTGTTTTCTGCACTACATGAGGTCTATTAAGCCCTATACAATAATCTTCATAATGCCACTGTTTTTGTGACTGTGCCAAAGCTTTTGATTGTGTAAATTACGAAATTTTGATAAAAAAAAACTAAATTTCTACGAAATTCGAGTTATTTCTTTGAATTAGTTCCAATCTTACTTGAGGAATAGGAAACAACTAGTTAGAACAAATATACTAGCTCTAGTTACAGAAGCATTGCATGTGGAGTACACAAGGTTCAGTACTAGGTCCTCTATTTTTCCTTATGTTTAAAAATGACATCTTTAACTTAAAAATCGATGAAAACATTTTACTTTTTGCTGATGATACCACTATTACCTAGAGGAACTCTAATTTTGCAACTCTGTAGGCAATTATAACTTCTGATCTACTTGAAATTAAAATCTGATCCGACTCTAATTTACTTCCTTTTAACGTGGATAAGACAAAAGCATTATCCTATAAAGGAGCTCTTCAACCCATGCTTCATAATAACAGCAATATCAGTATCGTTAATTCTGTAAAATTTCTTGGTATTTTATAGACAGAAACATTAAATGGCCCCTTCATATCGATTTGATAAGTAAGAAACTAGCCTCAGCCTTGCAATATATTTGGGTATCATATACAGCAACTTAAACTTATTCGTAGACTAGTTCGTAAGGTTTTATTATGCAATTTGCAATTTGTTAAATTTTGTAATGGATTGTATATTTTATTATCCTTTATTTTGTGATATAGACGATTTATATAATTTTATTAAATTTTAATTGTTATTGATATTTTTTTACTTTTTGTAAGCTTTGTCCATAATTTGGTACAATTGTACAATTTTCAGTGATAATAAAGCATATTTCTATTCTGTTCTATAGATATCATCACCCATAGTGCACTAATTAAAAGTTTCTATCAATAAAGCATTACGAAAAGTCTTCGTATATTTTGGCTTAATCGAATCAAAATGTCATAAAGCAACTAAGGTGAATAAAATGGAGATGTCTAGAGACTAGGCCACACACTCCGTAGACCCCCAGATGACTGTTGTCTTTTTAAAATTTGAACAATGTTCTAAGATAATCAAATTTGGGCGGAATGGATTTAAATGATAGCTTACTGCTTTTTTATTGGGAATATGCCACAATTTTACTTTACAATAAGTGTAATATAACATTTTGATTTCCACTTACAAAATCGTTGTATATAAATAAAATTTATTAATGTTTCGTATTTTAAGTACGATTTCCGAATTAAAAATCTAAACATCAACTTAAGCTTATTTTAAATTCACATTGTGCCTTATGTCCAATGAAGATAATAAACTGCATATGATGCCACAATAAAAAAACTTCATATAAAATTATTTGGCACGTCTCGTCTCTCAAGTTACTATGATTGTTTAACAGTAGTTTCAAGTAAGAGAGTACCTACATAAACAAACATAATGGCTATTATCGTTTATGTGTATATTTATTGAATTGAAAGAAACTGATGAAGGATATATTTATAAAAACTTGAAAAATAAACTAAACAATACAAATAGTAAATCGTACTTAAATTTACATTACACGTTATTATTAAATCGCGAATTGTCTAAATTGACATTTAAAACCATAAGATTTTCTACTTTACTTCCTGTTAACCGTGTTCTTCTTTTATTTAAAATTAAACTAGATTTTGTACATGTGTTCACATTTACAATATTTTATGAATATAGTGGTTAAGTTAGGATATACATGGCGATGGTCTTTCCACCATTGAAACGGACTCTCGATACAGGTGTACGTTTAAATGAGTCATATCCAATTAATTGATCAAAAATACACCATGGACTTAAGTCATCTTTATCGGTTTCTTTTTCTTGTACTGGTTGATTTTCAATAGTACAATCTTCTTGTTCTTTAATTATAGAAGTAACCAGCTTCTTAACTCTTTCTTTTGTTTTTTAGCTTAATTTTTATCACAAAATCCCTGCACTTTAAATCGTGAATCCATAAATGTACATAATGATAATGTGCCGCCCTGATCTATCCCTCTAAATCTTTTTGCTAAACCCGATATTAGTAATTGTACTACGTCGGATACCATGGATGTAAGGTTACCGTTTGCTAAAATTTTATTGCAAGATTCTTACAGGCAGCGTACCATAACAATCACTAAACTGCCCTTCAAGTATTTTTGGCCACTCATTGTACTTGTTATTTCTTTAAAACGCCGTAAAATTTGGAAAAGTTGAGAACAAATTATCCAGTCTTCATTATTTAGATTTGGTCTAAGTCTACCTAATACCATATCTAATCCATACTAATCCAATCTAATACTATACCAAATCTAATAACTAATACCAATGTGGAACGGATTGCCTCTTCTAACTCGGTCATTCTTTTTAACATGTAATAGGTGAAGTTCTACCTAGTTTCCACGTCTTGGATTGGCCGTTTGGGAATTTTGTTATGTTGTAATTGATATTTTAAAAGCCTTTCTGAAGATAAGGGACTATTATGAAATGTATTTTTTGCCGAATTGTCAAAAAAAGACTTTTTATTTTATTTATTTGTACACGACAGCATTTAAGGGCGTCCTCCACCAGTAAATTAAACGTATGGGCAAAACAATTTAAATGTTTTCATTCCAAAACATCTTTAACAGCTTTGACCATATATGAGGCATTATCAGTTACGGCAAAATTTACTTTTCGTTTTAGACCCCACTGATTAATAATTTCACTAATTTCAAAAGCGATGTTTTCTGAATTATGGTTTCCAAAAAAATGACAACAGCCTAATAAAACCGTTTTAAATTCTAAATTTTGGGTTAAATCCTGTCCTGGTTAAATATAATTTAAAAATGCGATGTAACTATCAGTTACTCCAGATGTCCAGAGGTCAGTAGTAATACAGATATTTTCTACTTCTTTAACAACTTCTGATCTAATAATTTGCTCAGTTTTGATATAACATTCCTAAAGTAATTAACCTGCCAAAGTTTTTCTTGTTGGCGGTTTATATCCAGGAATCCTGCAAACTTTTTAAAAGCTCGTTCTACAATTATGGAAAACAGATGAAACGAGTACTTGCATAGGTTTAGTAAATCCATATCTATTTGTTTATTTCGTTCTAAACTAATATTTTAATTAATGGAAGTTTCCATCACCTTTTGACGCTTGGGTGGCGGTGGCAGTATGTCAGTACTTGTAGGAGAA